ACGGTATGAGCCGTGCTCGGATGTTCATCAGGTGCCAGAAAGCGGGGCCCTCCTCGGGTTCACCTCTGGCGCACAGAGGGGTAGTGGGACTCGTGGGGCTAAAGCGGGGCACGACAGCGGGGCTGAAGCCGCCACTGCGTGCCTGGGCTTTGCCAGCGGCCCTGTCGAGGATATGCTGCACGACGGTCGAGGACAAGCTGAGGACAGACTGCGATGCATGTGTCGTAGTTGACGAGGGCGTGCTCGTAGGAGACATGCTGGTACTCGTCGTAGACGTCGTAGTAGCCGTCGAAGTCCCAGGGGGGCAGCGCGCGGGGCGGGGCCCCTGGTGCTGCTCAGGCCAGGCGCTCGCGATGGCGCCCAGCGGCCCGGTGCCGCACGGACCCGCGGCGGCGGTGCTGTTCACGATCGGGTCCAAAATGGCACTGTGATCGTATTTGTAGATGCTGTCATCGTAAAAAGGTCGAAGAACGTCCTACGCTCCGCATGTCGCAGGAAAGCCTCTCCTCCGTGCTGGGGCGCACCGCCTGAAGACGGGCGCGCTCCAGCCAGCGCGGGGAGGGCCAGGCCGCAGGCGAGGCGCCGCATGATGGCGAGGCCTGGCGGGCGGCGCGAGCGATGAGCCGAAAGCTGCGTGGCAGCACACGTCCTCAAATACCCCTGAATGCTCATGTACATTGCTACAATCACGCCCCCTGCAAGACTACGGGTGTCCCTACACCAGATAGCTTGCGCGTGCTGTTGCCAAAACAGACATGAGGTGACAAGAAAGAGATACGACGCGAAGAGGGGAGAGATGCCTCTGAAGGCGCTTCCTCGGAGGGCTGAGGCGGGCTCTCTGAGGCACCTTCAATCGGGTTCCTGGTTGGCCCGACCCTTGTCCTTGCCTTTGTCGGCCCCTGGGGGGCCCGTCCCTGGGGTGACCTGGCCTGGCTGGTCGATCCAACTGCAGGCAGCCACGGGTTCGGCGGCCGCTGCGGCTTCCTCCTTCTTAATTTCCAGAGTGGCCGCTTGTGGCAGGTGGATGGTGCCTCCCGTGAGGTGCCCGAGGAGGGTCTGGATGTCGCCGCGCAGTGCAGCGGCGTCGGCGGTTGCCGTCTGTTGCTGGGTGACGACGGTGGCGAGCCCCCGCTCCAGCCCTGAAACGTGCTCCGTGAGTGTGGCCTGGGAGGAGAGAACGCCCGCAAGCTGCACCTGCATGTTATCCACCGTGTTGGCTAGCAGCTCGTGCTGCTGTTCCATGTGCTGGATGCGGGTCGTGGCAGCATCGGGCGGTTTTGAGGCCGATGCGAAGCGCTCGCCGAAGGTGTTGAGTTCGTGGGAGGCCACGCTGTATTCATCACCTGATGAGAGGATCTCGACGTCGACGACGTCACCTGGTACTTCGGCGGCTGTGGCAGCGTCGCCTTCGGTGTGGCCCCCACCTTCTGCCGCCGCCGTGCCAAGCCAGGGGTCGTGGCCACTTGGTCCTGGGGCGGCCGTCGGTTCAGCGGCTCCGTCCGTGCCGTGCGGGGATGCAGAGGAGCTGCGGCCTGGGGCGCAGGGTGGCCTTGCGTGCGGCGTGGCGTCACGTTTCCCGCTGGAGGAGCGGTGGCGCTTGGCTGAAGGCTCCTCCTTGGGGGTCAGGAGCGGTGCGACGCCCTTGCCTTTGGGCGTGGCAGTCATGAGGTCGTGGAGGTAGGGGCTCTGGGCAGCTTTGGTGAGGAGTGTGCCGGTGGCGGGGCTGAAGCCGCCACCACCGGCTGGCGGCGTCGCAGGCTCTGTGATGGTGGTAGGCGTGACGATGGTAACGTTGTCCCGCTTCGGCACCACCTCAGCCAGCGGGGCCTCGGTGATGCTCCACGGGATGGGGCACCCCGCGACCTGCACCGTATAGGTGAGTGGGGCCGATGAGCGCGCACTAAGGCAAACTGGGCCGCAGTGGCTGGGTCCCAGGCGGTGTGGTAGACCTCACAGTCCCATTTAACGGACGGGCCCGTGAGAGTCTTGGCGAGCTGGGTCAGCGTGGCGTGGCGTGCCGCTATGCCAGTGATGCGGTAGCGCGTCTTGGCGAGGGTAGCCTCGCAGCCGCGGATGCTGACAGCAGCGGCCTTGGCGACGTCGGACCCCCGCGGCACACGGATCCCCAGTAGGCCTGACTTGCCGTGCCTGACGACTCCCAGGGCCTTGAACTCCACCGACTTCTGGAAAGCGTCTGCCATCGTGATGGGCTGGTCCTCAGGGAACCAAACGGTCTGATACTTGTCGGCGGTGGGCTCGTCTGCACCTACGTTGCTGAGGTCGTAGGTGGCACCGTGTTGCCCTGATCCCGCCAGGACCTTGTCGACCGCTTGGAGACTGACGCCGAAGGTGGCAGCCAGGGACCTCTTTCCGACGCCCGATCCAAACCTGCCTAGGCTTTTGCAGGGTTCGAGGTGGTGACGGCTTTAAAGTTGCCGTGGAAGTGGGCCTTGAAGGTGTCCTGGAGCTGGCTATCGAGCTCCTGGCGGCGAGCGTCTTTCTTGGACTCCTTGTGCTTTTGGCGCGCCTTGTCCTGTGGAGCGGAGTCGCCTCGAAAAGGGCCCTTGGCGCGTGGACCACCGTTCACGGGGGCACCTCCCGAGAACTGGTCCTCGAAGGCCTGGTGCATGGAGGGGACTGCGGCAATGGCCTCGGTCTCGTGTATGGTCGCCCGAATCCTGCAGACGTGGTCGGCAGGGTCGATGGTGGCGACGGCTACTTTTTCCGTGCAGGCGACCTCCTTGGTGCCCAGCTGGTACACGGTCACGGGGACGTGCGTGTGGACCACTTAGGGCGCCTTGGGGTGACGCTTCAGGACGGGGACGGCGAGCTCGGTACCGACGTAGTTGTCGTTTTTCGGGCCCATGACAGCAATCG